CCTGGGAAACAGTAATGGAGTGAAAAAATGATGGAAAATTTTTTTTTTTCAAAACCTTTCCCCGCCTTGGGGGGAAAACGGCCCCCAAAGTATTAATTATCAATTTTGGCCCAAAAGGAAATCTCCTGAGTGTTTGTGCCTTCCCTGCCAGGAGACCCAGCTTTTATCCTTTCCTGAAACGTTTTTTTGAGCATTTGTTTTGGGGAAATTTTTTCCCTGATCGGTTTGGGCCCATGGCGGGTTTTTGTTTTTTTGGGGGGAGCTGGCTACTGGAGGAGTCTTTCAAGGGTATCCCCCGAATCCCTGCTTTACTAAAACCCGGGGGCCCTTTAAACTTCCCCACCACATTCCCCAAGCGTTTGGGGACAATCCTTTTTTGACTAATGGGACTGGAAGCCAAAAAACGAAGACAGAAAAGCAGGTAAAGCAACAGCTTTTCTTTGCGCACCCCCTTTACCCCGTTTTCAAAATGGGAGGGTTGCCTGATCCCCTTTTCTGTCCCCCCCCAGTGCAGGTTTAATGCCTTCTTTTAAAAGGTTTTACCCGGGGGTGCAAACATATTCCGAGGGGTTGGGTTTTTCAAAAAAGGGGGGGCACAACCCCAGGAAGTAAGTGGGGTCTTAGCATAGTAAGACACCTTTTTGGGGGAGTTTAAGGGGCATCTGGGCATCAAGATCACTTATTCTCTCCTCCATTCTCAAAGGTCATTCAGTTTGTCCTTGGGGGGCAGGGGTCGTGGCCCTTTTGACCCAGCGGTGCTCCCAAAGGGTACTGTTGTTCGGATGGTATTTGAAGGGCTTCTGGGAGGATTCTTCGCATGGCAATTTTTAAATTTTCCTGGTTTGCTTGTGATGAAAAACACACTTTTGGGGGGGATTGAGGATTTAAATCCCCCCGTCTTCTCCCTGTGTTTTTACCCGTGGTTTGGTCCCCTACCAGGGGCCCTTTAGTAAACCCGCCAGAAATGCCCTCATCCCGGTACCCCAATTTTTGGCTTTCTGTGTAGGCTGGAAGTTAGTTTCTCTTTTCTGCCAAGCAAAAAAGAGAAGTGGGAGCGAGTGGGTCACCCGCTGACACCCCTGATGAAGGGAAAAAAATTTATGTTCTCCAAACAAAAGAAAATTTAGGGGTTTGGGTGTAGCCGGGCCCAAATGAAGGGGAAAAAAAAAGACGGGGAAAAAATCCTGAACAGCTGGCAAGACAAATCTCCTTCCCCCTATTAAAGGGGTTTCTAAAGTCAATTTGGGAAAACGGCCTTGCTTTCTGGGAGGTCCCTGATGTAAAAGGGGGGCCCCTTCCCCCAGAGCTGTGGCTTCATGTCTTGGGGAGGGCCCCCCAAAACCCCGCCGGGGTGGCTGGAGTAAAAATGGCAAACTTCTAGGGGAATGTTTCTTACTGCTGTTTGGCAAAGAGACGGTGAAGGTTTACCCAAAAGCAATGGGTCTGATTTCCCCCATTTCCCTTTTTCTTCAAAAACATGTTGGGGTTCCCAAAAAAAAGGGGTTTAAAATTTTTTTTGGGGGTTCGCCCCCGCCAGGGAGTTTTTTGAGAAAGTTGTTACCCCGAAACAGAAAACTGATCAGAAAAAACTGATGCAGATTCACCGAGTAAATGGATTTAAACCCTCTTTTATGAGGTGCGAGGTTTGAATTCCAGTGGGAACTTCCTGCAAATCCGGTGGATCTGCAGGATTACCCATAAAAGGGGGAAAAATAGGGATTTGCCTAGGGCCCCGCCTTTTTGGGGGGGCCCCGCAGTCCCCAAAGGGGGGAGGGGCCACCAAGACTACGCACATGGTGCAAATGCCAAGGGGTTTCCCCACCTTAAAAAATTCAAATGTTTGGAGAGTAAAATTGATTTTTTTAAAAAATTTAAACCAAACAAAAATAAATAATGAAATAAAATAAAAAAAAATAAAAAACCTAAACCCTAGATGGCAACACTCAACACGCCTTTGTTTACATCAGAACAGGTTTTTTCCCCCCTTAAAAGGTGAGTATGGGGGGATTCCTTTTCCAATTTTTTTGTAGTAAATTTCACGGTTTTTTAGACTTTTTACTGACAAATTAACTGAAAGAAATGTAAAACAGCTACATACTTCGTCATTTGGAAATTCCCCGATTACGAATTGGGGAAAAAAAAGAAAAACTACCAGAAATTTAAAGAAATTTGGGTTTCTGTTAAAATTTACTTGCCAGATGCAAAATTTAGAGAAGCTGCATTAAAGTTGCAACAAACCTTTCAGCAGATGTTCGGACACATTTGTTAAGAAATATTTTTTTTCGGGGTATAGAATCAATTAAAGCCCCCCTGAAAATGTGCCCCCCTCAGCTGCTTTAAAATTTAAAAGGAAACGCAGTATTCAGAAACCTTCCCTAATGTTGACATGTGTTCGCCTTTACCTAACACTTCCAGCTCTAACTGGAAGGAAAACGTTCATTTTCTGTTTTGAAAAGATGAAAAACTTTTGATTTAAAAAAATTGAGAAAGTATATAAAGCAAGCCCAGGTCGACGGGAAATATAATTGAATCTTTTTTCAAAAAAAAGAAATTTTGACAATAATATGAATTTTCCCTTTTTGGTTTTATAAATTAGATCCTTTAAAAATTAATAAATTGGGAGAATTTAAAATACATGGACAAAAAAATTTTTTTTTAAAACTTTTTTTGGGGTAAAATCTTGGGGGGGATTGTGCAAAGGACCTACCAAGTTGGGTCCCGCGCGTGGTTTTTTTAACCGTTGGGGGATTGATAGTGGGGTTGGCCAGACCCCTTATATAGCTTCCTTGGATTTTTATTTTTTCAAGTTCCTGATATGTGAGTAGTACAAAAGCGCTTGAATTTCTCTATTTTTTCAGAGTGGTTGTTTTCATAATTTTTAAAATTTAAATATATAAAAAAATATATATATTTATATATATATATATATAATATATATATAAATATATATTATTATTATATGTGTGCCGAAATAAAAAACTGGTCAAATTAGAAAGAACTCATTTAAAATTAAGCCCTTTTCTGAAATTTTCTTTTATAAGTTTAAAGTATATATTTTTCGTTAATGTTAATGTAAAAATTTTAAAATTTTGCACCAAAAGAATTTTAGAAAACTTACCTAACCTTATTATAACAGAGCAATTTTTTAGCCTAACCCAACAAATTTTAATTAAATACGTTTCAATAAATTTTGTACAAAAAAAAAAATCAAATATATTTTTTTTTGTTAGGTTCAGAATGATTTTGGCGAAATTTTTGCATACACAAAATTTTTATTTCCTATATAGCAAAAATGAGCGTTGCTTTTAAGCCAAAATCGCAAAGTTTTGCCCATTCGGCACGACAAACACATATATTATATTTTATATATATATATATATATATAATAAATATATATATTATTTTATATATTTAAAATTCGTGCCGAATATGTAAAACTGGCATTAGCAAGAACTCATTTTAAAATTTAAATTTTTTTCTGAAATTTTTTTTTCACGTTTTTTAAAAAATATTTTTTTCATTTAATGTTAATGTAAAAAAAATTTTTTTTGCCCAAAAGAATCTTTGAAAACTTACCTAACCTTATTTTAAAAGAAAATTTATTTTGCCTAACCCCAAAAAATATATTTTAAATAAGTTTAAATAATTAATACTACACAAAACTATATAATATTTTTTTTCGTTAGGGTTCAGAAAAATTTTGGCGAAAAATTGATACACAAATTTTCCTTTTCCTATATGGCAGGAGAATATTGGGTATTTAAGCCAAGATAGCAAGTTTTGCCTATTTGGACGAGTATATATACATATAATATATATTATAATTATTATATTAATATATATTTTAATATATATAATATAAAATATATATTAATTATTATAAACACCCGGCCCATTTCCACCAGGCGGGGGGGCCCAAAAAAAAAAACTTTCATCATCATTCACTCCATCACTGTCTTGCCAAAGGGTCTTTCACTACATTTTTAAAAATGCAACATTAACACCCCTCCTTCAAGTGCAGGCCCCTGTACTTTTCCCCTCTCCAAACTCGAGTCTGGCCCGCCGGTTTCCCCGAACCCCCTTTATAAATGTTACTTTTTTCACACCCAACAGCACGTCAAGTATTTTTAAAAAACCCTTTGTCTCCATCCACTCCCATCAAAAACGCTCACACAGCTTGCTGGAAGTTTAAGCCCCTCGCACAAAAAAACCCTTTTTTTACTCCCTCCCCCCAACCCTTCCTGGGTTTGACCCCTACACCGCCTTCCCTCCCCCTACAGATTTATACACTCCGAAATAAATTTTCTTTATTCTATTCTCTCTACATGTCCGAACCAAAACAACAACCCCTCCCCAGCCCTTGGGTAATAGTTTGGTAAACTCACACCTCCCCCTAATTTTCCCAAAATACGAATTCTCTGCATTATATTCACTCCCCAAGGTTTTTTCTTAAAAACAATCCCCCCTAATAGGCTAAATGGGTTAGATATGG